TGCAACCCTTGGCGAGGACCCCAAGCAAGCCTGTCTGCAACAACAAAGGGGAAGATAACAGTGAAAAATCATGAGAGGGAAAGCTAACATTAATTTACTTTTACTCCTTCTGTTGTAAAACAAACAAACAAACAAACAAACAAACAAAAAACTGCCTGATAGGAACCAGGAATATAGCTCAAGTGGTAGAGCAGATGCTCAGCTACTTTGGGCCCTGATTCCAATCCTGCACTGCGATGTTCCCAGAGTACCACTGATGGCCCCTGAACATGGCTGGGTGGAATCACTAAACCTTCAGGCAAGCCTGCACTCTTGACCAGCACCACTGGCCCACACACCTTAGGGTGAGCATCCCCAGGGGTGCCAACCCCGCCACCAGATGAACACATCCTGGAGGTGTCCTCCATAAAAATTAGGTCTGTGAGCCAGGAAGACAGCTCAAAGGGCTGGAGAGTTTGCTCGCTATGCGCTCCCAGTCCAATTCCCAGCATCCCATGGCCTCCTTAGCATCACTTGTGTCGGCCAGTGGTGACCAGCAGAGCCACTGTGCCTAAGTATTGAATAATCAGGCCCACACAGGTGGGCTGAGAATCCCGAGGAGTGGCTGTAGGACACCCTGAGCCATGTTTGCTAGCCCCCATCCCCTCCCCAATCCTGGGTCATCAACTCTGAAGTCAAAGATTCAAGGCTGAACCGAGGGAGATGATGGAAAAACAGACTGTACCAAAAAACAAATACATTTGTTTATACTTCAAGCCTTTGTTTCAGATGGAGGTGAAACTCCCAACAGATAAAATGTTTTAAAGTACACAATTCAGGGACGTTTAATATACAATGTTGCACAGTTACCACCTCATCAAGATCCAAAACACTGGCAGGAGAAGTAGTACAGGGTTTAGAACCAGGCCTGGCATGCCGCTGACCCAGGTTTGATCTCTGGCAATGTGTCCCTCCCCCCAGCATGGCAGGGTTCAGACCTGGAGTACCATCCCCCATCACCTTCTATGGCTCTGGGAGTTCCAAGCACTGCTCAGGTGACCAGGGTAATCCCCAGCACTGCAGGGTCCCACTAGTTTTGTGTCATCCAAAAATCACTGAGCAGGATTCCAGAACTCCTGCATAGGGTGCAGTGTCCCTCCTTCTCCCAAAAAATACGTCCCAAACATTTTCATGAAGGAAATTCTGTTCTCCCCACCCACAGGCAACCACCACTCTGCTCTCCGTCTGATGGATTTATTCACCTATTCTGGATTTTCTTTTTCCCCCCAAGTAAATAGAATCACACAACACGTGACCTTTTTCTTGGCCAACTGCACATTTCCCGAGCTCGGTGATGTACCAGGCACAAGCTGTGTGCTAAAGAAAAGATACAGAAAAGAAGAAGACAGATGTAGTCCCTGCCTTTGTGGGGATTACAGAGACTGCCATTATGAAAATAAGCAGAAACAATTAGCTCTGTAATTACAAATGCTGCAGAGCCGAAACACAGAATCTATGGGGAAGGGAACCTGGCGGGGGAGGGGGGGGAAGGAGGGTGGAGTGTGCTGATCTGGTTTGGAGAACAAGCGAAGTTGTCTTGGAAGACAGGACATTGAAGCTGAGCTCTGAGGAACGACCAGAGGGTTAACAGCAAGGGGGAGAATCTTCCCATGGTTGGGTGGGGGTGGATAGAGTCGGGAAGTTCTAATCAAAGGAATCATGAAACTTGACTGCTTTTGGTTTGGTTTTGTCAGGATTTTTATTGACCAAAGTCTATAGTTTACATTAATGTTCATTCTTTTTGTAGTAAAGATCATTGGGATTTGAAAATTAGATAATGGCATGAGTGCATGACAGTTTCATAAAATACCCTTTGCTTATCCTATTCACCCATCTCTAATCCCCCTTCTCTGCTGGCAACCACTGATATTTTTGTTGTCACTAATAGATTGTGCATGAGGGCAGGGAGAGAGAAAGACAAAGAGAGGGAGAGAGAGAGAGAGAGAGAGAGAGAGAGAGAGAGAGAGAGTTGCCTGGGATTGAATGCTGGGTCTCACACATCCTGGTCACATATAGTTTAAAACCATTTTTTACCTATTTTGTTTTTGGGGACCAGTGTTACTTGGGAATTATAGCTCAATGCTCAGGGGTCACTCCTGGTGGTTCACCGGGGTCATGTATTGCAGGCAATTCAACCCAAGGACCCTGCATGCAAAGCATCTCCCCAACCTTAAAGAATTTTTTTTTTTTTGCTTTTTTGGGTCACATCCGGCGATGCACAGGGGTTACTCCTGGCTCTGCGCTCAGGAGTTACTCCTGGCGGTGCTCAAGGAACCATATGGGATGCTGGGAATCGAACCCGGGTCGGCCACGTGCAAGGCTAACGCGCTACCCGCTGTGCTATCTCTCCAGCCCCAACCTTAAAGAAATTTTTAAAAACAATAATGTTGATGCAATGAAAACAAATATGTAAATGAAGAACTGGGATCAGAACTATCAGGCAGAAAAAGAAAAAGAAAAATGATTGTAAAGAAAAAACTAGTAGAGAATGTTTCCGGAAGGCCAGTGTGGTTGGTAAGTCTGAATCAAATGGAACAAAATAGACACAGAAGAGAGAGAGAGAGAGAGAGAGAGAGAGAGAGAAATCAGATCCTGATAGTTCTTATGCATTATTATAAGAGAATGTAATTTAATTGAGAGTGCTACTTCTATGATGAAATAAGCTCATAATGCCTTAGCACTCTTGCAGAAAAATTATAAATGGCACAAAATACAAATTAAAAATTACTACTACAACTCTCTGAAGTCATTGGAGTGCAGGTGTGCAGCCAGATTTTGGAAGGATGCCAGACTTAGAACTGAAAGTGGTACAGGTGGGCTTTCCATTTTATAGTTTCTAACCTGATGCACAGAAGCAGTTAAAAACTCCAGTTGAAAGGCCTTTCCTTCAGTACCTGTATTGCAAACCATAATGCCCAAAAGGAGAGGGCATCGGATGGGGAGAAGGAGAAAAGTGTCTGTCATAGAGGGAGGCTGGGGATGAAGGGTGGCTGGGGATGAGGGGTGGCTGGAGGAAACTGAGGACATTAGTGGTGGAAATGTACACTGGTGAAGAAAAGGGTGTTGGCATATTGAATGACTGAAACCCAATCCTGAGCAACTTTGTAACTATGCATCTCAAGGTTAAAAAATTACAAAATAAAAAATAAAGTGTTGGAGAGATAGTACAACCAATAAGGCACTTGCCCTGCATGTGATCAATCCTAGTTTGATCCGTGACACTGCATCTGGTTCCCCAAGCACCACAAAGAGTGATCTCTGAGCACAGAGTCAGGAGTAATCCCTGAGCACCTCTGGTTGGCTCAAGTCTCAAACCCCTAAAAAGACTGATCTTTGAAAATGAGAAGATATTTTGAAAATGAGAAGATATTTTGAGACAACTGTCACTGTCACTGTCCTCCCGTTGTTCATCGATTTGCTCGAGCAGGCCCACTAGAGCATCTAAAAATTTAAGGTAACTAAGTAACCTTAAACTAAGTAACTAACTTCAGTAACTAAGAACCTAAGAGTGGGCCGAAGTGATAGTACAGGGGGTAGGGCATTTGCCTTGCACACGGCCAACCTAGGTTCGATCCCCAACATCCCATATGGTACCCTGAATATGTCACCAGGAGTAATTCCTAAGCGTAGAGCCAGGAGTAACCCCTGAGCATTGCCAGGTGTGACCCAAAAAGAAAAAAAAAAACAACTCTGGTAGAGGGCAAGAAAGATAGTACAGTGGGTTAAGCACTTGCCTTGCAGGAGTCCAGCCTGGGTTCCATCCCCTGAACACTGCTAGGAGTGATTTCTGGTGCAGAGCCAGGAATAACCCTGAGCACTTCTGGATGTGTATGGCAAAATAAATAAGTAAATAAATACCTAGAAGGGCAGAGTACTGAAAAGGCATAACAATTTTTGTGTAAAAACTGTTTGAAAATGTCTTTCTGGGGGCTGGAGTGATAGCACAGCGGGTAGGGCTTTTGCCTTGCACATGGCCGACCCGGGTTCGATTCCCAGCATCCAATAGGGTCCCCTGAGCACTGCCAGGAGTAATTCCTGATTGCAGAGCCAGGAGTAACCCCTGTGCATCTCCAGGTGTGACCCAAAAAAGGAAAAAAAAAACTTAAAATGTCTTTCTGATCCTAAATTATACACGATCAGATAGGGATAAAGCATCCTAATCAGGGATTAAAGAACTGTGCAGAAATCAGAGCACTAAGAGATAGATATTTATAGAGTCCAACTGAGTAAAAGTTCTGAAAATAAGATTAAAAAAAAAAGTAACCTCTGGGCTGGAGCAATAGTACAGTGAGTAAGGCGCTTGCTTGCCTTCCAAGCAGTTGACCTGGGTTCAACCCCCGGCATCCCATATAGTTCATTAAGCATGCTAGGAGTGACTTCTGAACACAGAGCCAGAAATAATTCTTGAGCACCACTAAGTGTGGCCCAAAAAACAAACCAAAAAAAGCAACCTCTTCTGAGAATAAAATAGACTCCAGAGGCCTAGAATAGAATATATACTATATCTTGGACACAAAAATTATTTAAGAAAAGAATTAGGACAATGTGCCTGTTCAAAAAGGAAAAGAATATCATTACAGGCTAAACTAATGAGTCCATTTAAATTGAGCAAAAGTAATGTCAAATATCTATCATCTCAGTGATGGAATGGAAAATATGCCAATAATAAATGAATATATATAAAATCCCAACAGAGGAATAAGATTGATTTTAAAAGAATTAAATATAAATTTTGAAATTTAAAGTTCTCTAAACTTAACATAATGTTGATAATAAGGAAAGAATTATTAAATCTGAAAATAACTAAAAAGCCTTGAGGACATAGAGCTGGAGCACATGCTTTGCATGCAGGAATCCTGGGTTCAATCCCTGGCACTGCATGGTTCCCTGAGCATCATCTGAGCACTGATCCAGGAGCAGACCTGATGAGTGTGACCTAAACATAAAGAGTTTTCATTATTGTGCTCACTTCAGCAGCACATATACTAAAACTCGAATGATACAGAGAAGTTTAGCATGGCTCCTGCATAAGAATAACATGCAAATTTGTGAAGTGTTCCATATTTGTTGGTGGTGGAGAATGGGAACTGGTAGAGGAATGGGTACTTGAACATTGTTTGACTGGAATGCAATCATGAAAGTTTGTAAGTTTGTAACTGCATCGCACAGTGATTCATTAATATTAAAAAAAATTAAAGAGTTTTCATTATTATTATTATCCTTCTCTCTCACATTGTGCTTTTTGTTTGTCTTGTTTTGTTTTTAAACTGTTCTCTCTGGTTCCTGTGGTTAGGGACCTGAGTTTATTTATTTATTTATATTTATTTATTTATTGCTTTGGGGTTCACACCCGGTGATGCACAGGGATTACACCTGGCTCTACACTCAGGAATTACCCCTGGCAGTGCTCAGGGGTTGATGTGGGATGCTGAGAATCAAATCCGGGTCAGCAGCGTACAAGGCAAACGCCCTACCCGCGGTGCTATTGCTCCAGCCCCACATTGTATATTTTCTAGGCATCCTATTACTTCTAAGTGGCTTTCTCTCCCCACCCCCTTTTATAGAATTAAATATTTCTTAGAGGATTGGTCTAATGGCACTGAATTCCTCTAGCTGTTGTTAGTAGGATAAGCCCTTTAAGTCTCCTTCAAATCTGAGAAGCAACTTAATGGGGTAGAGTGTTCTTGTTTGAGGTCTCATCCTTTCCGCACTTGGTATATATTAAGCCACTCTCTTTGGCCTATATACTTTCTGGTGAGAAATCTACTAACACCCTGCCCTTGTGTATTACTCTTTGCTTTTTTTTCCTTTTTGCTTTTAGGATTCTCTCATCTTTGATTTTTGCAATTTTAACTGTAATGTATCTTAATGTGATTAGATTTCTGTTTGGAATTCTTTAGCTTTTCTGAATCTGATATCTAATCCCTTAGTTTGATTGGGGGAAACTCTAGGTCTTCTCCTTTCGGAATCCCCTTGGAGTGACTGTTGCTTGTCTTGATGCTGTCCCATGTTATTTTCATTGTTTTTACTTTTTGTGTTGTATTCATTGTTTTTATTCCTCTCTTCTCTTGCCAAATATTTTGGACTCCACCATTTTACATTTAAGCTCTCTGATTTGAACTTTGACTTTTTCCTTTCTGTTCTTGAGGTCTTTATTATAGTTCAGTTGGTGTTTTACCCAGGAATTTTTTGTTTGTTTTTTTTGGGGTTTAGTTTTATTTTTGGGGGGGGGAACATTTGGCCGCGCTCAGGGGTTACTTCTGGCTCTGCGCTCAGGGATCACTCCTAACATATTCAGGGGACCATATAGGATGCTAGGGATCAAACCCAGGTCAGACGCCTGTAAGGCAAGCACCCGACCCCGCTGTAGTATCACTCCAGCCCTGTTTTATGCAGTATTACTGTTTCTGTTCTAAGACTTATCTTTATCTTACTCCATCATACTTGTCAAGTCCTTTTTAGTTGATCACCTCATATTAGTAAGCAACATCAAGACTGGTTTCTCTCTCTCTTTTTTTTTTTTTGATCACCATGAGACACACAATTACAAAGTTGTTAGGTTTCAATCATACAGTGTTCTAACATCCCTTCACCAGTGTATATTTCCCACCACCAATGTCCCCAGTTTCCCTTACCCTCTCCCCCAACAACAGCCTGCCTCTACGGCAGACATTTCTCTCTCTCTCTCTCTCTCTCTCTCTCTCTCTCTCTCTCTCTCTCTCTCTCTGTTTCTCTCTCTTTCTTTCCTTTGGGGTATTATGGTTTGCAGTACAGGTACTAAGAGATCATCATGTATATTCCTTTACCTACTTTAAGCACTCAGTTCTTGTCCAGAGTGATCATTTTATAACTATCACAGCACTATTGTTTTGAAGTCTTCTTCAGGTAGCTTGCATAACTCTATTGTGTTAAGAGCTCTTTCCAGACCTGTTGTATGGGTGAGTTTCTCCCCTTCCCATTTTGCCTGGTGCCCCATGTGGGCTTCGATCAGAGCCAGAAGTCTATGTTCAAACTGGCCTGAGTGGTAACCAGGAGTTTGAAATAGTGAATACTCAGGATCACCTGTGTGCCAAGTTCAAGAGGGCAGGGAAAGCAATCAGGGCTTCAAGGTTGCCAGTGTCTGGCACCCACTATGGTCACACAGACTTGGGCAGTGAGGCAGGAGCCCATACTCTGTGGCTCAGAGTGGAGTCTGGGCATCTCATTTCCCATGGGCAGCAGAGTACATGCGTGTGGAAACAGAGTCTGACTGTGGACTGAGCAGGAAGCTCAGCAGACAGTGGTCCTACTGGCTAACTCACTATACTTGAAGAAGTCCCTGGGCTGCTCTCCTCTAGAGGGTGTGATGTGCTTGCTAGCAGTCCAGTAAGGACTGGCAGAAGCAGAGTCTGTTTGTCTGCCAGGAAAGAACATTCTAGATAATTATCTCTCAGCCCTAGGCTAGTGTGGTTCTTTGCTGGGGGTGGGTGGAGCTCTCCCTCAGGGAGACTCCATAACTATGGGAATTGACATCAAGATGGCATCCTGGAGCAGGGTTTCCGGAGGTGGCCAAGTGGCACCTGCCCGCAGCACCTACCCAGTGATAGTACCCTCTTGTTTCTTGCCTCCCATTACAGTGTTTTAAATGCAGGACCAGGGAACAGGGTGTTCAGCACAATTTTCCCCCAGCTCCCTGGAGCAAAGTTCCACACCTTAGAAATCTCTTCGCGGTTAAAGCCTGTTGCTCTGTGGTGAATGTTCTTTCCTAAGTGATGGCACCTCTTCGTTTCCAATCTCTCTGCATCCTGTCATTTTTCTCCTGGCCTGTAGAAACTTTGTTAGTCAGGAGTTTAGCTGAGTTTCTGTGTAAACTAATGCAACTTTTGGTGGAGATTTGCTATGATTGCAAGAAGAGGTAAACACAGGCTCTGATAAGGCCATCTTAGTCCTGCCTTCTTGTCTGTTACAGTTCTTCCTTTTCCAGAAAGTCATATAGGAAAAATCATATAATAGATGGCCTCTTTATACTGTTTTATTTTTCCACTTAGAAATATGCATTTAAGTTTCTTCCACGTTTTTTCCTACCTTGATGGTTCACTGTTTGTTGATTCATACCTGACATAAAATTTACCAGTCACCTTTCCTTTTTCTTTTTAATTTTTTTTTGAGGGGGTCACATCTTGCAGAGCTCAGGCTTACTCCTGGTTATGCACTAAGGGCTCACTACTAGTGTGGCTCAGAGTACTATGTGGGATGCCAGGGATTGAACCCTGGTCAGCTGCACACAGGACAAGCACCCTACCCACTGTACTATCACTCCAGCACAACCAGGTCACCTTCTCTAAGTGTACAAGTCAGTGGACTTAAATATATTTCCATTGCATGCAGTATCATCCATCTTCAGAGCTTAGCTCATTCCTCTTTATCACTGAATAATAGTCCATTGTATGGATGTAGCACAGTTTGTTTTCATTAACTTATTGTTGAGTAATGACTTATTTTCAAATAAGACCACCAGCTCCGTGTAGAGAGGAAGTTGCAGGAGTACTAAGCATGATGGTAGGAAAGCCAGACAAATGCTACTGTTGACCAAGCAAGTAATGGTAGTGGTTTCAACTAGGGCAGTGAAAAGGGAGAGAAGTAGACAAATATGAGAGGATGAGCAGAGTAGAATGGAGAGGACTTCGATGTGGAGGGAAAGGCAGGAGTTAAGGATTATCTCATTAGGATAACTGTGTTAGTCAGTGGTGTGTCATTGAGATGGGGCAATGATGAGGAAGAGCAGATTTGGGAGAAGACCACACATTTGGGTTTGATTCTTATGTTTGAAGTTGAAGTGTCTTGGAGGGGGCTAAGTAGAAATGCGAAGAGACCCATGGAATATACAATCCTAGAGCACAAACCTTCCTGACTGTACCATAGCACCAGTAGACAGGCCTTACCTTTGTTTCTCAACAAGATAAGTTTCCTCCAGCCTCACTCAGGATTGCTATTCTCTTTGCCCAAATCATTTCCTGCACATAGTCACCTAACATTCAAATCTAGGGTCAGGACTGGAGAGATAGTACAAGTGTTAAGGTGGTTGCCTTGGTGAGATCCCCATCACCATATTTAGTCTAGCACCACATTTAGTCCAGGGGTTACTGCTGAGCACAGAACCAGGAATAGCCACTCAGCACTGTGGGATGAGACCCACTTCTCCACCCCTCCCCCCAAAAAAAAAGAAGGTTATAGCTCATTGGCAGAGCATTTGACAGCATATCTAGTGTCAAATATCACCTTAGTAGATGGGGAGATAGAGCAAAGGCCTGGTTTGCATGCTTTGAACGAAGACCAAGATGGTTTTTGTTTCTTCCCCTTGTAGGGGGGCGGTCACATCCTGCGATGCTCAGGGCTTACTCCCAACTCTGCACTCAGGAATTACTCCTGATGGTGCTCAGGTGACCATATGGGATGTTGGGGATCTAACCCAGGTTAGCTGCGGGCAAGGCAAACAAACTCCTTACCTGCTGTGCTATATAGCTCCGGCCCCCAAAGCCAAGATGTTTTATCTCCAGCACGGTATGATCCCCTGAGAATCTCCTGACAACAGAGCTCTCAGCGATGAGCCAGCAGTAGCCCTCAAGCACCACCAGATGTAGACCCAAAACAAGAACAAAGGCCATCATTTCAGAAAGTTCTCCTACAGACAGACCCAAGCTAAACTAAGCACAAGCACAAGGAGTGAGTCAGACAAAATCTACTTGGGTCATATTTTGTTGCAACAAGGAAGCATAAAGAGCAACTTCTAAACCCAGTGCTTGCAACAGTAAACATTCAGCTCTCACTCAAGGAAGTGGGGCTCATTGGAGCTCCAGTGGGCCAGGCCCCAAACCGGATTCAGAGCTGACTCCTGCCTTTGCACTCAGACCATGCTGCAAGAACCCCCAATGTGTGGAACTCAGGATTCCCATAACCAAGGACAGTTGTTCAACACGGTAAACGGAGAGAGATACTTCACCCTGGCTTCTCCAATTTGCCCAAAAAGGGAATAAAATCTTTCCCACCTCCAGGCCTCTGCATACTCCCCCCAGCAGACCACAGAACCAG